TAGGTAAACAATGTGTTATTATCTGAAGTTATTTTATCCGAGAGATTTTTTGAAAATTCGCTTCCGGTGCCAAGTTACGGGACATTTCCTGATTTTAAATTGACATTTTGTCCACGGATTATCTCAAGAACGGTAAAAGATATCAAAATGAAACTTTCAGGGATGATAGATTGTCGTAATTACTATGCAGGACGCAACTTTTCGTTCGTCGTCAGTACTTCCTTTTGTTACCAGATGCGAATTTAAAAAGTCGATTTTTCTAACTTTTTTGTTTTTCAATATTTTTGAAGTATTTTAAGCTTGAGTAATAGAGACCTTTCCAATGATGCTTACTATATAATCTGTTTGAATATTGACAAATCCAAAGTCTAGATATTAACATTCAAAAATCTGAAGCGGGTCCAAAATGTCGGCTGTCTCCGTAGACTCCGCCATTTCACGAGTAGGGGTTTATGGAGGCAGCTGAGTGTTTGATTAAACGATTCTGACATAAGGATACATGAAATGTAAAAAACTACTTCGACTCTCACGTAGTAGTGAGATGGTTGGAGGAGTTACCTCCCGTTACTTGTTTATATTATAATAGATAATCAATGTAAATATTGTAATTAATTGGTCAATTGACAAAAGAATTATACAAGTATTATTGATAAATGATGTTCTGTTGGAAAATAATAATAGTGTTGCCAAAAGAAAGGCAATCTGTTGTATTTTATCAATATGATATCTCCTAACTTATGATCATTGATTAAGTTGAGGTACAAGGGGCAGTACAGCCAACTGGCTTGTATCTTCACTTTGGTACAGAAACCAATTGGTGTATCGATCAAATCGGATTGTGCAAAGTTGCCGTAATCAGTGACTAGTTAAAATATAGCTGTGTGACGTTAGCTATAGGTTTGTCATTAGGACAGAGAAGCTCTTACAAAGTTAAATCATACTGTGTAAGTATATTGTAGCCACTTGGCTAGAGTTATATAGGCAACTTGGTAAGCAGTAAGACACCAGGCAGGTGTTAAAGGTAAATAAGAGGCACCAGGCAGGTGGCTGTTGACTTATATATTCAGTTGTATAGTGAGGCAATTGTCATATGGCACCAGGCAGGTGCCGGTATTAACTGAAGATATATAAGTGTACAAAGCACTTAGGTCATTTAATTTAAAGACACCAGGCAGGTGTCATATTATTATCTGTAAATATATATATATATATATATATATATATATATATATATATATATATATATATATATATATATATATATATATATATTTGCATTCAATCATATCCTCAGTAAAACTTGGTAATCCGAGCACAGACCTACTGACCGCTCAGGTCCGACACGTTACAGAAGAACGTTGCAATTGAGTGTCAATCTTAATTTCCGTTTCACTGCTTTAGTGTAACTGGGCTAAATACGATATGTAATGTGTATAATGTGTTACATATACTTTCTTAAGTCGAAATAAAATAAAGACGCTAAGAATGTTTTATTTTTAAAATCTAATTGAAGCCATCATACCTATTTAATAGATCAGTCCAAAGAAAAGGTATTTACTCGTGGTGTTTGGCGCGAAATTATGAATAGTGGCCAGCCTTTTATAATTCTTAGACAGGTGAACTGTTGCAAAAGTATACACAAGTATATTTAGAGCAGTACTCCCAATAGCTTAATGGTTAGCGCGTTGGGGATAAAAAAAGTTAAAAAAAAAAAAAAAAAAACGCATTCACGTTGGCAACATGGGTTCAATCCTCCTTGTGACCAAAATTTTGAATCTTTTTTTCAGCTCGAATTTACGTGGGTTTCTTTTCCTAAAGCGGACGGAAGACCTCTCGTTGCTCGCAACGAGATCGTATCTAGTTATTATTATTATTATTATTTTCCTGACACGATTTATCGACAACCACTGGATAAAATTACATAAAATTTTTCAGAAAAGATAAGTAAGATAGTCTTTAAAGTTCCAAGAGATTTTTGGAAATTCCTTTCTGGTGCCAATTTTCGGACCATTTTCCTGATTTTAAAACGACATTTTGTTCCATGGATAATCTAAGAACGGTAAAAGATATCAATGTGAAACTTTCAGAGATTATAGGTGGTGATCAATACTATCCAGGACGCGACGTTTCATTCAGTTGTCAGTACTTCCGGTCGCTACCGGAAGCCAATTTAAAAACTGCAATTTTTCAATTTTTTTTTTGTTTTTCAATTTTTTTTTTGATATTAGTTTGGTTATTAAAGACTCTTTCAAGAATACTTAAGATGTAATTTGTTCTTGAATAGATATAGCCAGTCTTGAGATATTTGCATTTAAAAATTTGAAGCGGCAGTTCCCAATGGCGTAATGGTTATCGCGTTAGATTTTCACGCAATTTTCAGGCAATCGACCCGGGTACGATCCCCCGTGTGTCCGAATTTTTTTAATCACTTTTTTTGCTGGATTTTTTGTTTTTTAATTCCGAATCGGACGGAAGACCTCTCGTTGCTCGCAACGATATCGTTTCTTGTTTTGTGTTTTTTATGCTGCAAGGGGATTGTGTCACTATTAGAGACAACATTAAATGGATGTTTTCACAGTACATGCAATTAGAGGACAGTTTTTTGAACAAGTCGAGAAATATATCTTGCATGTATATTGTTGTCATTGCGCACAGCGGTGAATATAGGGATCAATGGTCCAATCCAATGCATCCCTACTAATGTGTTCGGAACTTTTTAATTTTCGGTGCCCTGCAAATTATAAAATCTAAGGACTTCAGAGTAGCTCTGGCAGTGGCTCTGGCGTGAATTTGCGAGACTACAGCGAGATACGGTAAATTATTCTTGAAAAATGTGGCTAAGAAGTGACTTGCACGTGGAGACATGGTAAACAGAAAAGATATGTTGAGTTTCAGTTTCCACCACCCTATAATATCCGTCGAAATGTAATTCAATCGATCTGTCTTGAATTCATTCAAACTTAAATAAGTATTCTCTGTGTTACAATTTTCTACAGTCATGAATTCAAATTTCTTTTTGAACAAATAATTCTGCATGGGAACCTTGAATATACTTTTGGCGTCAGATTAGCAAATGAGGCACCAACATGACTTTAACTGACAAATCAGCTGAATGAGAATTGTATTATGGGGTTACTACGAATACTAAAGGAATATTTGGCTTGAAAGTAAAAAGGAAAATCTTATGGCTATTGGAAGGCACAAAGGCCATTTTTCCATCCATTTCATAAATGAAAAGCATTTTGCTAAATAAACGTGGATAAGCGTTTTATTATTTTGATGTATAATATATTATTTTAGGTTTGATTTTTTATACCCCACGCAACTAGTTGCGTGAGGTATAATGTTTTGACCAGTCCGTCAGTCAGTCAGTCAGTCTTTTTTTTTTGTCAGCGCAACTCCTCATAAACCGCTGCACAGAACTTCGTCAAACTTTACAGGTATTTAGGACACAATGTGTGGTTGTGCATTACCAGGAAATTCCGATTCCATGATTTTTTCCGGGAATTTCTGCACTTTTTAACTTAGGCATTTGGCCATACCTTGAATATAGAGATGAACAGTTTGTCAGCGAAACTCCTCAAAACCGTTGCTCAGAATTTCGTCAAACTTTGCAGATATGTAGGACACAATAATTAGATGTGCATATTACCAGGAAATTCCTATTACTTTATTTTTCTTGGGAATTTCGGCACTTTACAACTTAGATTTTTGGGGATATCTTGAATATAGTGGTGAACAGTTTGTCAGCGCAACTCCTCATAAACCGCTGCACAGAATTTCATCAAACTTTGCAGATATTTAGGACACAATTTTAGATGTGCATATTACCGGAAATTCCGATTTTTTCATTTTTTCCGGGATTTTCAGCACTTTGAGTTTTGGGGGAGCGTGGGGTATGTGAGCGTGCTCACCTTTTCTTTCATTTTTGGAGTAAAATGATACTGCAAGAATAATCTGAAATCTTGATGACGTCACAATGCTACATGACATCATCATGTCTATAGATTTATCGCTAGAAATCAAAATTGGCGGCAAAAATTGCATGAAATTTTTCCGAGGGTGGATAGTATACACTTATCCACTGGTTGTGAGTGGGATAGCTCTTTTATCAAACCCGCGACAGAGAACTATTCCCCGAGGGCTTGCTTTCCTGTCAAGAGCTATCCCACTCACACCCAGTGGATAAGCGTTTTATTATACTGATGTATAATATAATTTCTGCGGTTTAAATTTTTTTGGAGTGAGATAATACTGCAAGAATAATCTGAAATCCTGATGACGTCACAATGCTACTGAAGTCATTATGACATCACCTGTCGATAGATTTAACGCTGGTAATCAAAACTGGAGGCAAAAATTGTATGAAAATTTTCCGAGGATGGATAGCAAAAACTATACCCCGGGGTATAGCTTTGCTATGCGTGAACCATAAAAGATGGCTATTTTACCTTCTGAACTTTATATAGCAAACATTTTAACAGAAGCATAATAACAAAAATTATACCCCGGGTATAGCTTTGCTATGCGTGAACTATAAAAGATAGTTAGGAAATATTTTAGCAGAAGTATAATAAATTGTTTTAAACCAGGGGAAAATTTCATATTCCCTTATAGTACAACACGGGGAAGACTGTCAGGCAATGACTTGTACAATGGAGTGGGGTAAACTCAAATTTTACTGTTGTTAAACATTTGTTTGTAAATGTGAGCATAGAATCAGTAGATAATGACTTAAGTATTGTTTTAGGTGTGTGAAAGTGCTTGGGAAAATGCAACATGTCTTTCCGAGAGGGATTTGAAAAACTTCTCAGGTATGTTAAGGTTAAAACAAGTTGCTGTCCTTTAAAAAAGGACTGCAACACCTGGACCATATGCATGTTTTTTCTAACCGAAATTCAATTGAGAAAATTTCTAGGTGTAGGGAATACATGTAGGTTTGTTCACATTTTCTACAATAATCTGCCTACTTATGAGTGATTGTAGTCTCAAAGCAAATTTTTAAAATTTATCTCTGATTAGCAACCTTCGGTTTTGTCAGGTTAAAAATTCGGTTATTTTGATACGTGAAACCCATACTGACTGGGATTTGACACCTGTTCTGGATTAATACGGAAGAAATATTTCATGGGAAAATAGAGATCTGATGGTTCACGAGTAGCACAGCTCTGTAGTACGAAGATTTTTTGTCGGAGCCCCCCTCCCCCCAGCACACATTAAAAGCCGCTGCTACAGACCTTTATCAAACGATATTTAGATTGCTGAAATATTAAATTATTTTACGAGCCTTGATGTACAAAACTAATGATGGTGAAAACTTGTTCTATCTTTTTAAAGTCGTTGTATGACGTTTTACATTCAAGTTGTTAAACTACATGTATTTATATATACTGCAACTTCTTCATACTTTTTAAAATGCTTGTACCGTAGAATCAATGTTTAGTTTGTATTTAAAAGTTAATGTAAAAGAGAGAAAATCGGATCTGCAAATGAATAAGTAAATACGATATACAGATTTAAAAGCGCGATTTGCCAATGAATGGCATGTTTTCATTCGAATAAGGCGAATTATTCTACGGGCAAGTTACCTAAGGCGCGAACTCTCTAGCATTCTCGCGCATGCGTAGCCTGTCGTTTGCCCATGGCATCCGGTTTAACCTCGCTTATATATTTACTGCGTGGACCTCAGGGTCCACGCTACCAAATATTCTACTTGCCTATATGCTATGACGTCACAGTAAGCTTATGACATGAACTTCAGAGATAACTGTTTCTTTAAATCGATATTTTGAGGTCACAAAATGAATCAAAATATGCAGAGGCATATTATTAACAGAATCTTGTCGTTTCTGGGTCTGTGTATTTATCACAAGGGTTAAATACCAAACTCGTGACGTCATAACTGTTGATCAGTATTAGCAGAGTGAAAGTGAAACGTAACGAGAATTCATGTAAACAAACAGAAGAAATCGGAGATTAAAAGCATTTAGAATGAATATCAAGTGTGATTCATGTGGGAATAATGCTTATGAATAAGGCATGCTAATATAATTATACAATTTCTAGATCTTCGTTCAATAAAAGCAGACACTACGCCGCATACGTTGAAACTTAATTTTTGTTTCTATCTAAAGTTTTTATTCTATTGTTTTTGGGAAGTGCTGCTAGAATCGTATTGTTAACGGGAATTGATGCATTTTTTTCGATCTTGTGAACAAAATGTAAAAAGTTTTGGAAGGTTTCGTCCAAAAGTGTTGAATAATTATTTTTATGATAGGACAGTAATGTTCTAGCACCATTTTTCATGGTACAATTTTTTTTGCATAACTATTATTAAATTTTACTTTTTCATTAAGGCATATTTTCTAATTATAGACGTCATATGGTGACGTTGTGGTATAGTGCTTCCTAAAGTAGAAGTCCCGTTGAAGTCTATAGAATGCATAATGATAGCAAAAGTTTTATCTATGACTTTTCCGATTTATTAGTATTACATGTTATAAAAAAGTGTTAATTCGCAGAATTCTGATCCATGTGCTGCTTTAAAATATCTGCGTTGCTCTTTCGAAATGTACATGTAGTATTTTTGTAATAATCTATAATGCAACTCATTTAGCTGATCGGTTGGTTCGTCAATCACGTTAGTGCCCCATGTAGCATGTAAATTTAAACTAAAGTCACAGAAAATAGTTTCCTCGACCTGTTCTAATAGATATTAAGAAAGTAAATCAATGAAGATAAATATGTAATCATTTCTCTGAGGACGAATGTAGATATTCTTACATCATCATGTAGCTTCGGAGTACACATGCATATGCTTGTATAACAAACAAGACAAAACTTGGCCCCGGAAACTTGAGAAGTAAAAAAGGTGCCCAGAAGAAGTAAGCATCCAAAAGTTAACATGCACCAACCCAACAATTCTTAATGAGACCATAATTGATCACTTATAGTCTTTTTATGTCTACAGGGAACAGAAACATAGATTTAAGTTACTGGACATTTTAGGAAAATGCATTTAAAAAAAAAAATATCAGATTGAACAATCCGAGGTTTTTGATTCGTGATATGTTCCAATAATGGTATCTTTCAGTCTCTCATTTAAAGACTATTTGTATTAAATTATTCCAATACATTACCTGTACATATACAATGAAAATGAATTTTATTTTATACAGTTGGACTTGCAAAGCCCTTGGTATGGACGATTTCAGCAGACAGTGTATGGTACAGACATGCACTGTTTGTAATGGGGACACAGAATTCTATTGCAAGACATGTGAAAGTAACCTATGTCTACAGTGTAAAGAGAGACACAACAGTTATCTAGACACAGTGTGCCATGATGTTGTGATTTATAGAGAGAAATTTGAAAGCATCCAAAAAGCTGAGAGTTGTGGAAGACATCCAGAAATGTTATATGAAATGTACTGTCAGTCTTGTGAACTTCCTGTCTGTAATCTATGTACGGAACATAGAAATCACGAAAAGCTGGATCTTAAAGCTGCTTATAGTAAAACTCGACAGCAACACAAAGAAATTATTCACAAAATAAGAAGCGAGATTCTGCATAGAAACTATAGTGTCTTATCACGGATTCAGAATCACACGAAAACATGCAATTTGAAGATCTCAGGTATTCAATCAGCAATGTCCTCAAAAGCTACAAGACTAAAGAGTCTAACTGATACTGTGTTGTTAAATGATATAAAAAAATGCAGCCTCATTTTGTTTCAAACACTGCAACATCAGAAGTCCAAACTAAATACATTTCTTGCTAAATCGGAATACTGTGAACACCGAAGTGAGCATTTACTGTACAGACCTGTACAATTCCTTTTAGTCTACAAGAAAACTTTAATCAACAAGATCAAAGCAACTGCACAGGTAAAGCAGGTGCCTCTTTTGTCAATAAGTGATAATTTAAAAAAAGCTGATGTGAGTCTGTTATTAAAAGAAACCCAAAGTGAAATCATGAAAACAGAAATAGTAAATGAACAGCTGCTGAAAATGGTGTCTAAACCTGTGTTAAAAAGATCAGTCAAAGTAAATGATATCAGTTATGTTTGTCATATTTCTATTGTGACACCAGATAAATTCTGGGTCAGTGATTGGAACAATCTCATCTTGACAGACACATCTGGTAAAACTCTTCAGAAAGTTACAGACAAAGCTGCATTTCCAGGTGTACACACAGTATCAAAAGCTGGAGAACTTCTATATTGACATCAAAGGAGATGTCAAAATTCAAACAGACAGCCAATCAAAGGTCATGCGAATGGAGAGAACAGAATCACCAATCAGTCTCCACTACTGTGCCTTCGCTGGTGACATTCTTCTTGGTTTTAGGGGATTTCATACAAAAGTTAATATTTCTTATGCAGGCATAGTAAAGCAGTATGACAGCATTGGGGAAGAAATCCAAACACTCCAATTTGACCACAAAGGTGAAAATTTATTTGGAGATCCAAGGTACCTCACAAAAAATTGCAATGAAGATATCATTGTGTCAGATTATACTTTCAATGCTGTAGTCGTGGTTGACTCGGCGGGCAAACATCGGTTCTCTTACACGGGACCTCCACCAGGATCAGGACTGAAACCAGGACTACTACCTCAAGGAATCTGTACAGACGCCCTGTCACACATCCTGGTGGTTGATACCCTCACTGACACTGTACAGATGATTGACAAGGATGGTAATTTCTTGTCCATCCTGTTGACCAAACCAGGGAGTATACATGAGCTGTATGGTCTGGCCTATGATCACAAAACTCATCTGCTTATTGTTGGGCGTGGATCATCAGAATGCACCGACATAGTGTCTGTATATAGATACATAGAAAGGCAAAACTACGTTTTGACTGATACATAAGATAGGTACATGTCTTAATTCTCTATGTGCATTATTTACAAAAATGATATACTGTAAATGTATTATATTTAGCGTGTACGATATTTGGCGGGAATTGATTTTTGAACGAGTTAGCGTACGGTAGATTTGATTTAGCGTATTTCTCAATGTTCTTATGTATATATGTGCAAGACAGTTAGCGTTATACTTGAATTAGCGAAAGCTCCTTTCCGCCAAAAGCGCTAATTAGAATACACAGCCAAATGTAAAACATTTACAGTATGTATTGTTTATTTATATGTTATTACTTTTCTGTTTTCTATTGAATTGATTCAAAACTGTAGATTTGAACATTGTTTTTAATTGCGGAGGATATCTGTCCATATCTTTTATAATTAGGGCTTTTCGACTTTTGTCGAAAAGACCTATTGTTTTCGTCTTGTTTATTATTATTATTAGGGCTTTTCGACTTTTGTCGAAAAGACCTATTGTTTTCGTCTTTTTTATTATTCTTTTTCTGAACACTTTTCTGTCACAGATTCAAGGAGATCCTTTTTAAATATACATTTTATTTTATAACCATCTTAAAGATCATGCAAAGGTCTACGAAATGTAAGGTTTTGGTTTTCTGGATACGTCACTTCCGGTTTCTAGAAAAGAAAAACAAAAATTCCTTAAAACGCTCAAATCTTTCTTATTTTAAATGCCTAAGCTCCAAAACAGAAAAATACAAGTTTTGAAGTTCAAGTTCTATTAAACAAATTTGCATAGGCGTTTTTGACCACAGAGATTTTTCGAGATATAAGACTTCAAACATTGCAGAAGGGGGTGATTTTTTTCAAAAGTCACAAAAACGTTCCAAAAACTATTTTGAGCATAGAAATATGTTTGAACTAATTAGTAAAACATATTCTGTAAGATTCATATCAATCAGAGGAGAACTTCCGGTTTCATGGGTCTTTGAAAATTGTCTATGAGGGTTCTATGTTAATTCGTAATCACGCGTGGTACGTTTTCTCTTAAAGTAATGATACTTTTCTCGTGAAATTTTAAATTTAGAATGACCTTGATAATGTTTATACCTGAAAATACCCTGAAAATTAAAATCGGGAAAATAAGGGATTTTTAGGGGCCAACTTTGCAAACAGACCTTTGCCTGTAACTTTTTTATTTCTCAATAAATTTTCAAACAGTTTTCGGATTTGACTTTAGCATAAAGAGGACAATCTAAAAAATATGGTCCGTGGGGTCACTTTTTGACCCCTTATAGGAGTTTTAGAGACCTGAAATATTGCATTTTTAAGTCTTTTAAAAAATATTTGTAAAGAGTTATCTCCCTTTGCCCACCTGTTTGGAATCTTATATGGTGTCTATGTTTTAATTTTGGTATGCATATGAAAAGTACTTCCGGTTTTATGAGTCCCTTAAAATTGCCTATGGAGATTTCTATGTTAAGTTTGATATCACGCTAAATTAATCATGGAACATTATCTCTTAAAGTATTCAACATTTTCTTGTAATATTTTGTATGCAGAATTAATATGATACTGTTGTGACTTCGTCAAATTATTAAATTGATATTTTTGAAAATAGGGGATTTTTAGGGGCCAACATTGAAATCAAACCTTTGTCTGTAACTTTTTTATTTTTCAATGAATTTTCAAATAGTTTTCAGATTTGACTTAAGCATAAAAAGAACAATTTGAAAATTTTGGGCCGTGGGGTCACTTTTTGACCCCTTAAAGGACTTTTAGAGACCTGAAATTTTGTATTTTTAAGTATTTTCAAAAATAATCGAGCAAGAGTTATCTCCATTTGTGAAACTATTTGGAGTCTTATATGCTCTTTATGTGTCAATTTTGGTATGGATATGTAGAGTACTTCCGGTTTTATAAGTACCTTAAAATTGCCTATGGAGATTTCTATGTTAAATTTGAAATCATACGATGTCCATTATTTTCAAAGGGAAGCAAGCAAGTCTCATGATTTTTCACAAAAATAATTACTTTAGTATTGCTTTTGGGTGCTTAGGTCATGAAAATAAAATTTCTCAAAATAAAAGGGATTTTAGGGGTCAGTAAAGAAATTAGATTTTTGTGTATTACTTTTTTATTTATCCATCAATATTAAAACTGATTTCAGTTTTGAGTTCAGCATAAGAAGAGCAATTTAAAAATTATGGTCCGTGGGGTCACTTTTTGACCCCTTTTGGGTGTTTTATAGACCTGAAATTTTGTATTTTTATGTATTTTCAAAAATATTTGTGCAAGAGTTATCTCCCTTTGGCAAACTGTTTGGAGTATAATATGCTCTCTTTGTTTCAATTTTGGTATGGATATGTGGAGTACTTCCGGTTTTATAAGTACCTTAAAATTGCCTATGGAGATTTCTATGTTAAATTTAAAATCATAAATTTCTTTTATTTCCAAAGGGAAGCAAGCAAGTCTCACGATATTTCACATGAAAAACTACTTTAGCATTACTTTTCGGTGCTTAGGTCATGAAAATAAAATTTCTTAAAATAGAAGGGATTTTAGGGGTCAGTACAGAAATTAGTTTTTTGTTTATTAATTTTTTATTTGCCAATAATCTTCAAACTGTTTTTGGATTTGAGTTAAGCATAAAAAGAGGAATTTAAAAATAATGGTTCGTGGGGTCATTATTTGATCCCTTATGGGTGTTTTAGAGACCTGAAATTATGTATTTTTAACTGATTTTAAGAATAATGATGCAAGAGTTATCTCCCTTTGTCAACCTGTTTGCAGTCTATTATGCTCTCTACGTTTGAATTTTGATATGCATATGAAGAGTACTTCCAGTTTTATGAGGCCCTTAAAATTCTCTATGGAGATTTCTATGTTAAATATGAAATCATACAATGTCCCATATATCAAAAGGGAAGCGAGCGATTCTCGTGATATTTAACTTGAATAATAACTCTATCATTGTCTCCAATTGGTAAGGTCATGGAAAGAAAAATCCCTTAAATAGAAAGGACTTTAGGGTTCAATTCAGAAAATAGCCTTTTCTCCATAACTTTTTATATTTTTCAAGCAATCTTTAAACTTTTTATGGTTTTGCATTTAGCATAAGGAATGCAGTTTAAAAAATATTGCCCGTGGGGTCATTTTTTGACTCCTTATAGGAGCTTTAGTGAATTGAAAAAAAGTACTTTTTCGAGTCTGTATAATAACCACAAAAGAGTTATGTCTCTTTGATTAGACATTGATGTACAAAGAGAATTGTTATGTTTCCAATCAAAAATTGATCTCAAAAGAACTTTTTCAATATTGTATTATAAGATTTTTTTTATTGTAAAATATTGAATTCTAAGATTTTTATTTTAAGGGGTCGAAAAGCCCTCCGTTTTTGTTGAACGACAAAAATAAGGTCTAGTTATTATTATTATACTGAACACTTCTATCGTTCAGCATTTAGGGCGTACCTTTGAGAATAGGTATATTATTTTGTAACCATTAAATAGCAAATTAAATTCTCTCGTGCGTGAAACAAGAACAACTTCCGGAATAGTCACTTCCGGTTTCTACAAAAGGAAAACTGAAAATTCTAAAGAAGCCGGAAACATTTTTAATTTTAGTGTCTAGACTCCCAAATTTGAGATATGAATTCTAGAGACAAAATGCAATAAAAAAGTGCGCGTATGTAATTTTTGAACACAAATACTTTTCGAGATATAAGACTTCAAACATTGAAGAAGGGGGGATGAAATTTTTGAAAGTCACAATTACGCAACAAAAATTATTTTGAGCATAGAAATATGTTAGAACTTATTAGTAAAACATATATTGTAAGTTTCATATCAATCAGAACAGAACTTCCGGTTTTATGGGTCTTGAAAGTTTTATTTTAAATTGAAATTAATCATGGAACATTATCTCTTAAAGTATTCAATATTTTCTTGTAATATTTTGTATGCAGAATGACTTTGAAACTGTTGTGACTTCATCAAATTATTAAATTGAAATTTTTGAAAATAGGGGATTTTTAGGGGCCAACATTGCAAACAGACCTTTGCCTATAACTTTTTTATTTCTCAATGAATTTTCAAATAGTTTTCAGATTTGACTTAAGCATACAAAGGACAGTCTAAAAAATAAAAAAAAGTCTCACGCTAAATTAATCATGGAACATTATCTTTTAAAGTATTCAACATTTTCTTGTAATATTTTGTATGCAGAATTAATATGATACTGTTGTGACTTCGTCAAATTATTAAATTGATATTTTTAAAAATAGGGGATTTTTAGGGGCCAACATTGAAATCAAACCTTTGTCTGTAACTTTTTTATTTTTCAATGAATTTTCAAATAGTTTTCAGATTTAACTTAAGCATAAAAAGAACAATTTGAAAATTTTGGGCCGTGGGTCACTTTTTGACCCCTTATAGGAGTTTTAGAGACCTGAAATATTGCATTTTTAAGCCTTTTAGAAAATAATCGTGCAAGAGTTATCTCCCTTTGTCAACCTGATTGCAGTCTAATATGTCCTCTATGTTTCAATATTGATATGCATATGAAAAGTACTTCCGGTTTTAAGAGTGCCTTAAAATTGCCTATGGAGATTTCTATGTTAAGTTTGAAATCACGCTAAATTAATCATGGAACATTTTCTCTTAAAGTATTCAATATTTTCTTGTAATATTTTGTATGCAGAATGACCTTGATAATGTTGTAACATCATCAAATTATTAAATTGAAATTTTTGAAAATAGGGGATTTTTAGGGGCCAACATTGCAAACAAACCTTTGCCTATAACTTTTTTATTTCTCAATGAATTTTCAAATAGTTTTCAGATTTGACTTAAGCATACAAAGGACAGTCTAAAAAATATGGTCCGTGGGGTCACTTTTTGACCCCTTATAGGAGTTTTAGAGACCTGAAAAATTGCATTTTTAAGTCTTTTAAAAAATAATCGTGCAAGAGTTATCTCCCTTTGTCAAACTGATTGCAGTCTAATATGCTCCTCTATGTTTCAATTTTCGTATGCATATGAAAAGTACTTCCGGTTTTATGAGTGCTTAAATTTGGCTATGGAGATTTCTATGTTTAGTTTGAAATCATGCTAAATTAATCATGGGACATTATCTCTTAAAGTATTCAATATTTTCTTGTAATATTTTGTATGCAGAATGACTCTGATACTGTTGTGACTTCATCAAGGTCCGTGGGGTCACTTTTTGACCCCTTATAGGAGTTTTAAAGACCTGAAATTTCGTATTTTTAAGTATTTTCAAAAATAATCGTGGAAGAGTTATCTCCCCTTGTCAAACTGTTTGATGTCTAATATGCTCTCTATGTTTAAATTTTGGTATGGATATGTAGAGTACTTCCGGTTTTATAAGTACCTTAAAATTGCCTATGGAGATTTCTATGTTAACTTTGAAATCATACGATGTCCATTATTTTTTAAAGGAAGCAAGCAAGTCTCATAATATTTCACATGAAAAACTACTTTACATTGCCTTTCGGTGCTTAGCTTATGAAAAAAAATTTCTTAAAATAAAAGGGATTTTAGGGGTCAGTACAGAAATTAGTTTTTCGTTTATTACTTTTTAATTTGTCCATAGATCTTCAAACTGATTTCGGTTTTGAGTTAAGCATAAAAAGAACAATTAGAAAATTATGGGCCGTGGGGTCACTTTTTAACCCCTTAAAGGACTTTTAGAGACTTGAAATTTTGTATTTTCAAGTACAGTCAATTCTCGAATTATCGCCACTCGATTCATAGCCATTTTCGCAATACCGCCATGATTTCCCAAGAACGTTTTTCCTGCTATATAAAATTCTCTTTATAACACCAAATTCGCATACCGCCATCCGCCACCCTGTTTTCACAACAAACGTCCGTTTTTAGGTGTCAATTATCTCGATAATACCGCCACAGGTGCATGTAAGCGCGGCTAATTGATTGACACTAATCTTATCTCTGTTGAAAAGCATGCAAAGCCAGTCAAGGTACAGGCAATTATGTAAACAATAATTTTAACATGCACTGTTAGAATAATTTTGTATTTTGTTAATAAAATCATTTAGTCAAGGCTTCGCAACGAAAGCGGTCGTTGTAAACCCAGATAGCATGACTACGTTGGGACAATGTTGGTCAAATGTAACACACTTTGTTGGGCCGACGTTAGCAGCCAACGTTGGCGCAATGTCTAAATGCACTGTAGCCCTTTGTTGGCCCAACATGTTGGTGCGATGTTGCGCCAACGTTCTAATGTATTTTTGTAATCGTAGGGCCAACATTAGACCAACATAGTACATGGCATGTTATAGAAGGGCCAATGTTGGGCCAACACCAGTAATGTTATGTTAATATATTATCGCAATACCAACATTATGCCAACATACTTTATAGCATTGTAAGTGAAGGGCCATCGTTGGGCCAACAATAAATACTATGTAAGAATAGAGGCCAACAATAAACAGCTTACGGAGTAAGTGTAGGGCCAACATTGGGCCAACAATAAATGGCTAGGAAAGTGTAGGGCCTACACTGGTCCAACACGTTGGAAAAATTAAATTGATTACCCAATGCATGACTAACATTTGATTTACAAAGAATAAAAAAATGTCATTTGCGGACAATCAGAGTAAAATACATGTACATGTATATTCACGTTATCCACAACATGGTTCGCATTATTCTAGTTAACTCTTTTATGTGAATTTCGGATTGACATTCAAAATATTATTCTTGAATAATATGATTTTTTCAGGAATATTCTGATAAGAAAATAAAAAAAAACCCATGTATTGGCTGTTGATTTTAATCGTTGATGTTTTTGTATTTTTAAATCTATTTTAATTACAATTAAATGTCAAGCAATCCTTCATATTATTAATTTAAACAGTTTTCATTCGTTCTCTTTTATTTACTCAGTGTCATTTGCACTTTCTCCTCCTTTTTCATTCTCTTTTCTCTTCTCTTCATCTATCCTCTTCCTCTCTTCCCTTTTTTCCGTTCCCCTTCCCGGTCACTGGCAGAGTGGTGGGTTTTTCCGTTCCCCTTCCCGGTCACTGGCGTGAGTCACTGGAGTGACACCAATCTTTAACAATGGCGCAAATTTCGCTGTCTGTCGCTGCCGCTGTTAGCCTGTTTTTTCGGACAGTCCTTCAAAGTAACAAATTTGTAGACATATATTGATGACGTACTTAATTTAATAGGCTTCAAGTTCTTAAGTTGGTCCACTGTTCATTTTGATCAAATAATTTGTACACCTACAACTGAGAGGTGAAATACGATATTTCCAGCTTTTTACCTGGGACAAAATTACAACTTATACGTTTAGATTTACTAATTAAACAACTAAATAATTAAATAATGGGGGATTTTTTCACCCTTTCAGAATAAAGTAAATAAATATAATTTTTACTGGTTACTATATCCTTGATTCCAATTGATCCGAAAGGCAAGGTCATTGGCAAAAAGGTAGGATAAGAGTCTTCTAACAGTGGACTTTACATTTTCTCCTCCAATTGTGCATAAATTCTTTGCCTAAAAGTAAATGCTAACACATTCATAGTGTATAACATTCATAAATGTGCATGTGTGTACGATGTCTGTATAAAGAGGCAGATAGCAAACACTGGACTGGAAAGTTTGGCGACAAAATCAAAACAAAAGATTATAAAATATACTTACATATATTGTCTAGCGAAGCAGTATATCCCACAAATATAATACATGTGCACCAAGCTGCTCAAATGCGAAATTGTGAAATGGTTACACGTGCTGACCATCCTGATATATCAGATTTCGCAGTAACCGAGGAAACTGGCCAGTCTCCTGCTGTTAGAAGCAATCATGATAGTGAATTTTGCTCTTATCTCAGAATATGCCCCCCTAAAACCAGCACTTTAGCGCAATTATGTAATAGATGTTCCTAAGATTTTATACAAGTCTGTAAATTGTTGATTGAACATTAACTAGTAAAAAACAAACACAAACTAAAAACAAACACAAAAATGAAACCAAAATAAAATAAAAAAAAAAAGAACAAAAAGAGAGAAAGAAAATATAAAAAAAATATTTCATGTACTTGATATTTGCTGCCAACTGCAGTTTTAGCTAGAGTAAATGTAAATTCAATATTCCCTAGATCATAGACGCCCTCCCCGGCTGGGCTAACACTAAATATTTTCTACATTCTTTTATTTTATATTAACGTTGGGCCAACGTTGGTAAATGTATTATTCCAACGTCAGCATAGAAACAGTAGTAAAGCGCTAATTGCATAGTAGGGCTAATGTTGGGCCAACGTTTTATTTTAACTATTTTTAAACACCATCATTTAGATATATTACATATACGTTGGGCCAACATTGGTCCAGTGTGGTGAGCCCAACGTGCAGAAAACTTAATTATAGCATATTCTGCACATGAAGGGTCGTCGTTGGACAATAGTTGTATACCCAATGATCTTGGTCACTATGGATAAGGGCACATTTAAAACGTTGGGCCAACGTTGGTTTCAATGCAGCTATTCCCAACGTTAAAAAAATACAGGAAAGCTCAGATTTATTACATAGCGCCATTGTTGGGCCAACTTTGTCTTCCCAACTTATATTTGATCAAAATAGAAAAGCATCCTATTGGCATTGGCCCAACGTTGGGCCAACGTTAAATGCCCAACGCCAACCACCAGCCAACAATACAACCATTTACCAACGTTGGCCCAACATAGTCATGCTATCTGGGAAGTACGCCGATAACGATATTATTTTGATGATCTCTGCTTTTAAAAACAATGCAAAGTTTGCTTAAAAATTAATTATAAGTCAGAAATTGCGAATGTTTCATTAACATTGATGTCATAAACAATGAATTTATTCAAGAACTTTTTTTTAAGTACTAGAGGCAATATATTACGACGATCTACCCAACCATTTTTTTGCAATGTCAGACGTGCAGATTTACATGCATACACATGTACCTGTCTTTATTTCATAACTGAATATTTTGCTCTAGCGAAATTGTACATAAAAAAAATTACTTGAAATATTTTCAAATTTAGAAATATGTTTATATATACACGTACATGTAATAATCAGAATAGAATCGCTAAATGGTATTTCTAAGAACGATAACTCTACGTCTTATTTCCTAAAAGATGGAAAATTCAATTCATCGCCAAATTCGTTATACCGCCATGATTTCTAAATAACAAAAGGTGGCGGTTTATCGAGAATTAACTGTATTTTCAAAAATAATTGTGCAAGAGTTATCTCACTTTGTCATCCTTTTTTAGAGTCTAATATACTCTCTATGTTTCAATTTTGGTATGCATATGAGATGTTCTTCCGGTTTTATAAGTACCTTAAATTTGACTATGGAGATTTCTATGTTAAATTTGAAATCATGATTGTTGCATTATCTCAGAAGGCAGGCAAGCAAGTCTCGTGAAATTTCATTTGAATATTAACTTTAGCATTGTCTCCAGGTTCTAAGGTCTTGAAAATAAAAATCCCTAAAATAGAAAGGATTTTAGGGGTCAGTACAGAAAACGGTTTTTTCTCTGTAACATTTCTAATTCTCAACCAATCTTCAAACTAATTTTGACATTACATGAGGTATAAAGAGTACAGTTTAAAAATTATGGGCCATGGGGTCACTTTTTAACCCCTTATTGGAGTTTTAGTGGATTGAAAAACAGTACATTTTCGAATCTGTTTAATAACCACGAAAGAGTTATGTCTCTTTGAGTACACACTGATGTAGAAAGGGAATTGTTATGTTTCCAATCAAATATTGATCTCAAAAGAACTTTTGCAATATTGTATTATAAGATTCTTTTTATTAAAAAATATTGATTTTTATTTTAAGATTCTTTATTTTAAGGGGTCGAAAAGCCCTCCGTTTTTGTTGAACGACAAAAATAAGGTCTAGTTAAATGTGTAACTGTAATACAATGTATAGGCATTTTGGAGTCTAGGAAAAACACGTTTTGTGTTAAACAAGAATATGATTTAAGAACACTCAATACACTGTTATATATCCTGTACAAATATTTCAATAATGCAAATGCTACAGAAGTTAGATCTAGTCCATTAATTTTGATAGTAGTCCATTAATCAGATATTATGAAGAGAGTTCAATGGATTTTAAAATTGAACGGACTATTTTGCCTTTAAAAGTAGTTGTCCTTATCACCAATGCTTACATCTCAACATTTATTAGAAGTTGTTAATTTGCAGCACTTATTTGTACATAATTTTGTCCATTTATTATTAATTTACATATCAACTTGATTTAACATATACACACTCCAGATGTAAAAAGTCTATTTAATCAAATGAGGTAGATGCTTGTCCAAAAACTGCATAAAAGTCCCAAACATTATTTTTTAAAGAGCGCGGGTAAAAATGTTTGATATTTTACGTGCTGTTGTTCTTGCATAGAAAATAATTAGACTTTTTACGAGGCTTATTATTTGAAGTTGTTTATGTACAAAAATATAAATGAAAAAAAAGCTCTGGTTTATAAATACTGTCAGGAAAAAGACCCGCAAGGTAGCAGGGTAGCAAAATACTCAAAATTCTTTTGATGCATGATCGAAAATTATGAAAATGGATCAGATGAGAATGTTCGTTACTATCCTAACTCACGTAAGCAGAATGCCACAAAGACCAAAACACGTGCAAATACATTTTCCCCACAATAAGAACGTGTTACCTATTGTCAGAGAGAGTCTGAATGGTTTCCAGCCAACAGTGACGTTGACATTGATGCAAAACAGAGTCAGGATAAGATTGGGTTATTCATCCTGCCACCTATTTAATCGCCTCCTTACTACCACAACAGCTATAAATACAGTAGACTATCATAATCATTTCATTCACCCTAAACCTGAAAGAAACCAATTTGGGTTTTTAAGCCGGTCAAATTGACGGTTTTATACTGGGAACTGTGTCCAATTTTTACAGGCTAATAAAATTGTACGCACAGCTATCAAGATTGGCTAAGACGAAAAATTCAAATAAACAAACTCCTTGTAGCAAAACTAGTGTCACCCGAATAACGAGATAATTTTTTTTAGATAACTACAGATGTAACATGACATGTGGATAAAACAAACAGTATTTGAACTCATAAGTTTATTAAACATGACAAAATCTACGTGATAGTCAGGCCATTATTCTATGCACTGGATTGTGATGTTTCCTCCCCCCCCCGAACATTACAAGGAGAACACGGCAGGCGTGACTGGTTGATAAGGGATGCTCTCTCCTCCACTGAACCTGATCCAACCTCTGATATTTAGGAGATACATGTTTGCTCTGTTCTTATTTTGTTAACTCCTTGAAACGTTTTATCAAGATAATAAACTACATTATGTTGTTGAAACGAGCCTATACTTACTCTTTGAAAATTATTATTATATATTACAAGCTCGTAATAAAACCAATATAAGAAATTCATTTTGATGGGTTACATTTGTAATTATTTTATTGTTTAAGGAATAAATATGATAGCTACGTACCCAGGTGATATCCTGTATAACCTGGGTTGGGACATTTTACGCTTTATAAACCGCAAAGCAGTTATTAAAACATGCGTTAACTGTTACAACCTAGTTATATACTAATATAACTTAGGCATTCCTTATTAATTTTCCATCATTAAGTGACAACAATAGGACACTTTTAAAAAGTAAAGTCAAGCGGAATAATACGTGTTTGACGTAACGCATTGGGAAGTAGGCAGCATATGTTATCCTAATAAGTTATAGAAACTTCTTTTATCCAATCAACTAACATGTTACAACAGTAATTAAATTTTTACGAGATAACTACAGTGTAACTCTCGATAAAGAAAAACTAACTAGTCTAGCTATACATGTAACCAGAAATAACTAAATAATCATTTCAGTATAAAATGTTTAATGAAGAAAACTTAAAAAAGAAATATAATGTTTGTTTGTTCGATGTAGTTTAATAGACATCTAAATAATTTTTCACTCATATGGAGACGTCACCATTTGCTGACTGAGTGCTGTAAATTATAACTTATATATACTCGGCACTTTGGGCCATTGAGCAGGGAGGATTTCTCCCTGCCAGCACCTACTGCAAAGCTGGGCAATAGCAATTCCACTATATTAAATCAGACGATCTTTTAAAAACTCCGATCAAAATGGGCTAAAATATCTTTCATGGTTCATTGCTGAGGACAATTTGACAATTTGCTGATGCCATTGAAATACCATATTGTAAAATCGTTTTTGGTATAAAACGAAGCTCTGTATACATGAGCGAACATATAAAATACATTTTATTCATAAAAGAAACTACTTGTGGACGTTGATACCGGTCCTTCGGATTAAGACCGTAAAAATTGAAATTATGTGTCTCAGTGGATGCTCGCACGAGAGATCTATCTCACTGCTCAATGGCCCTGAATTCCGAAATTCGCAGATCTCAATCGACAGGTAGCGGTGTCGCTATGAGTGAAAAGGTTCTCGAGAGGGACGTTAAAAACAAGACACAAACCAAAAAAACTAAATAAAAGATATTTTTGCATCATATATTTTGTCTTTTCACTTGCGGTAACACACCCGTCATTCGTTTAGTGCAGTAGTAACAATAACAGTATCGCCGTGATAATAATTCTTGTAATATCCTAGGGAAATCTTATTGTCCTGTCTTTACTGCAAGGATACATATTTTGTTG